AATATAAACTTACACCTCAGAGGGGAAAGGGTGTCTTTGGCTTCTGTAAGAAAAGTGTAAGATTGGTGGGTGGGGAGGTTAACCAAATATGACACTTCTGTGAGATGAACGTTTTGCTCATGACTGAGAAGAAAAGGTAAATGAAAAAGTGGATAAATGCCAATAACAAGACCCAGATCTGCATGATCACTGCAGATCCCCGTTGTTGGTTGTTTGTTTTTTTCAATTATGATGAAAATTCTGTAGGTGGATATCTAATTTCTTAATGTTTCTTTGTAACTTTGCAACTGTTTTGATGATCTTTTGTCTTGATTTCTTTTATTTGTAAGGCACGTACCTATTGCATTGACAAGATTCTCAATGTCTTCCACATATATGCGTTCTTTCTAGTCCATATATGGTTTGATTAAATTGTATTAACTGAAATTATTTTATTTTTTTTACAAGCTGGTTAAAAAAAGCCACGTATAGATCTAGATCTAGTACAGGTATCTTTAAAATAATAATGGAAGTTGAAGATCGGGAAAAGTACTAATATTAAATTGGTGTAGGTGGGGATTGGAGGCAAATGTGAGAAAAGTGGTATTTGGGTTTTTTGTTTTAAAAAAGTCCCCAAAAGTGTAAGATTATATTTGAACAGCCCCATAGGTTTTCCATTTCCTCCTCTTCACCATCATTCTATTCTCTTCTTCATCTTCCTTCTCCCTTCCTCCACCACCACCTCTTCCTTCTTCTCCCCACCATCATCATAATCTCTCTTTATCATCACCACCACCATCACCTCCTCGTCATTATCATTACCATCATCACTGCCACTGCCAGCATCATCATCTCATTCACTGACATCACAACATGTACCACACCCACAAGAAGAGCGGCCATTTTGGAGTTAACACTTTTCGCCTTGGGAATGCCTTTAAAATGTTCCTCCTTCCTTTGCACAAGCAGATTTTTGATAGAGGTGTAAAATTATTTTTTTGTGTGTTCACAATGATTAATTTATTAATTATTGTGATGCAATTTCAGGGTACAGACATATATATTTTTTTACATTCAAATATCAAAATTTTGCTCAGTACGATTGACCATAGTATCTGTAGCTACTATTCCACCAATGTTCATGCAATTTTGTTAGAGAATAAGAAGCTTTCGGTTTTTTTTAAATTATTGTTTGTTTTGCATGTTGATGCTGTTTCCATTCCATGGCAACTTTCATATTTTTCGACTTATCAAAATTTACTTTCTTCATTATTTCTTATGCCCGTATAATTTTTTTTCCTAAATATGAATCGGAAAAAGAATCACCCTTGGGGTGAGCTGTTCCCCGTAAAAATGGACTGTAATAATATGAGCACATCAGAGAGAGAGAGAGAGAGAGAGAGAGAGAGAGAGAGAGAAGGGGGGGGGGGGAGGGAGGGATGGAGACTCTTTTCCCCGTACTATTGAGAAGGTACATTTTTGCTGTACTAGGAATACGGGGATCTGCAGTGATCATGCAGATCTGTGTCTTTTATTGTTACTGGCATTTATCCACTTTTTCTTTTACCTTTTTTTCCCAGTCATGAGCAAAACGTTCATCTCACAGAAGTGTCATATTTGGTTAACCTCCCCACCCACCAATCTTACACTTTTCTTACAGAAGCCAAAGACACCCTTTCCCATCTGAGGTGTAAGTTTATATTTTGAACGGCCCCTCCTATAGGCCTAGATCTAATACATTGAGGCATGTCGCGTACATGAGAGGCGGAGTAGGGTCGCATTTCGAGGATCGCCGTAAAAATAGCCTGGGACTCACTGGAAGGCTATCTTTACGGCTCGCCGTAAAAATAGCCACTGCGTATAATATAATATTGTCGCTTTTAAGGACAAACAGGCTAACCCTGATTTCGCAGGTTTTCAGAAATCTTGACCATCACCAAAAGTGGGCTTTGCCCTACCTATAGGAGAAGTTTGATTTCTTTCATGTGTATATTTGTTTGGCTATAGAGAAAACTCCTTGTCTTTTAAAGAAACTGAAAAAGGGGTAAAAACTTTTCTTTCAATTTTCTCAAAACAACTTTTTTCGGGATAGCCCCCTTCTTGTGCTTAAAATTGACCATATATGACCACCTTCTATATTCTCACCCCTGGTGAGAATAGCTCATGACCCGTTATTAAACGGTTATTCTCGCCCCCACCCCGGTGTGGGCATGAGGCGAGTCTGACTCCCCTCTGACCAATCACAGGCCAATATAACCACCAAGGCCCTGGTGGCTTATCGCAAGAGGTTGGGAAATGACCCATGAGTGTTTGGCACTTGTATCCTCATGTAGGCCAACTACTGATTACCGTTGTCATAGGCCCTAGCCTTAATTCTTATTTTTTCCAGTCAAATAGCCTTCTTTTAGAATTAGGATTTTATTTTAGTGAGGACCAGTAGGTATCAGATGCGTTCTGCTCTTGATATTTCGTTCTTGCATAACCATAGATCTAGATCTAGTGTAGCTCGTTTGTTGGAGGGTTCTTTGTTTGTTTGTTTTTTCACTGTTGTTTTCTGTTCATGGTGTGAAATGGCCTTCACCCAGCCCATTAAATAAACTAAACCTGAAACTTATCTCTACGACTTATAAGTTATTCTCTGTGCTGTTCTGTGTGTGTCTGTGCTATAGGCTATAGCCAGAGGCCTGCAGTATATAGCACACCTGAGTGGGGTGAAAATAGCGAGACACAGGCTATTCTCACCCCTGGTGATTGTCCTCTAGTCTTTCTTTTACTGTGGTACCTGAAATTCAAAAGCTTCACAAATCGTTGTTAGTGTTTGTGCTTAGGATAAAGATGTAGATCTAGCTGTCAGCTCACAAATTTTTTGTTCCGATAAAAGTTGCTGTGATTGATAAATTCCAAATAATAGGCCTATAAACTATAATATAATAATTTAATTTTATGTTTTTAACTGTCTCTAGGACTCTGCTCTTTGGTTTGACTATAGTAAGTGTTAGTGGAGGCATGAATTGATTTTTTTCTCTTTTTAATTTTCAGATTACTTTCCTGTGGACTTCAACGTAACTGACGAGATTCAGGATGAGAGAGAAAATCAGAACACGATCTTTGAACAGACTGCTAACAATTGAAAATCACTTGAAGCCAGTAAGACTTTAAAATTATCTAATCTTAGCTGGATAATGTTACTCGTATCATATTTATGGGAATTATTCCTGCTGTTTCTGTCATTTTACCGCTACAATGCTCACTCTGAAAATCTTTTTTTTCAATAGTACTGGTCTCTGATCCTTTATTTCCCCCCACTATGGTTCTCTCCCTCTGTCTTTTTCTGTAACCTCAATGATGCTGATTAAAGATGGACATTAGGTATTTCCCTAATATGTTCACTTTCAGTTTATCATAGTTATTATTCCTATAGATTCCAGCGCTCAAATGAATCATCTATAGACTACTTATAATTTAAGCATATACAGTCGAACCTGCCATGACGGCCACCTGTATAATACGGCCACCTATACAAACGGCCACTTTCCATTGGCCTCCTTGCGTATTTTCTATATAATTTAACTGTGTAAAACAGTCACCTGTCCAACGCGGCCACGGCCACCTTTTTTTTATCAACCTACGGTCAAATTTACTTGCCTGGGATGGCCTGGAGTGGTCACTCATTGCCTGACGCTTAAATTGTTATACATTTTTTAATCAGCCCCTCACGCTGTGGACAGGCTGACATAATTCATTGACTTTGTCGTTCTTGTTAGTCCCTCCAATGAATGTTTACCCAAGTTGACCAATGGTAGGCCTAACAATAAATTTTCAACTGCTGGTAAAGGGAGCGTGATTCGTCATAACCTATAATCAGAGCTGTTAAAGTACCTTGTAAAACAGTACGTAAGTACAAATTTAAGTACAATCTAAAAACTGTACTTAAGTACATTTTAAGTACGGTACTTTACTGTGAAATGTACTTGAGTACAAGTAGGCCTACTGTTTTATTAAGTACTTATGAATACATTTTGAGTATATTCTGCTAATATGCTAAAACACTTCAGTGCTTATGCAAAACATTGTACTTGTACTAAGGAATGCACAAAGAGATCTTCACTGAGTACATATAAATATATTTTGAGAATGTTGTTGAAGAGTAAATAGTCCAAGTTGGTCTAACAAAAATATTTCCAATTTGAATGTGTAAAGGGAAGAAGTATTTAAGTACTAGTGAGATTGTGAGTTTAAGCCAAGAAGACTATTTCTATCAAATTTACAGAAAAGAAAGATGTGTTTGTTGACAGTTCTTGACTTAATATTAAATCAATGATGAAGCCTTTACCCAATTGTTACTCTAAATAAGCTGAACTCTGCCAAAAATGACACAGTCGAAAATCGATGAGAAGCAAAACTCTTTCCGTTTGCCAGCACTTACCCTTTCTTTAAACCTCAAAAGTACTCAAAATGTTCTTTTAAAATACTCGAAAGTACTTTTATGAAAAGTATCGGAGTAAAGTAAAGTACTGGTTCTCAAAAATGTACCAGAGAAACAAAACTCTTTACGTTTGCCAGCACTTACCCTTTCATTAAACCTCAAAAGTACTCAAAATGTACTTTAAAAATACTCGAAAGTACTTTGATAGAAAGTATTGGAGTAAAGTACTGGTTCTCAAAAATGTACCAGAGTACAGTAAAAGTACCGAAACTTGTAACGTAAGTACCGTTACAACCAGCTCTGCCTATAAGCCCCACCCACAATTCATACAGAAATCATGTGGGAAGTGACTGGTCACTGTTTTGTTTAACTAATCTGTAACAAAGTAACAATGGATGGTGATGTGAGCTTGCGACTGTAGCGTCGCTTGTTCTGCGAGTGGTGGCGACCCGTGTGTTTGTTTACCATGGCGCTCAGTCTGCATTGTCTTACTTACATAATATTTCATTTATTTTACCCTTACACAAAATCAACAACTAAAAGAAAGCTAGCCAAAAATCAAACCAACAATACAAAAAAAAAACCCTTTTGAATTAACCTTATGGCAGTTTAAAGCCTGACATCAGCCCCGGTTTGGACGTCAGAAGGGAATGATTTGCTTTCGTCATTTTGATCAGTCCTGCCTAAGACGGCCACCTATATTATACGACCACTTTTCTCCTTGACAATGGATGGCCGTTTTACACAGGTTTGACTGTATATACAGAGGGGGGTGGGGGTCGGAGGAGTGAGAGAGAAAGAGAAATATTTCTTCATGAGAGAGCTAGAGGTATCTGTATGAAAATTTAATGTTTTAGAAAAGTGAGTTTTTATGACGTAGTGTAAACAGGAAAGATGTAAAAATAAATCTAAAACTTGGCTGATGATGACTAAAAGTGAATTGAAGAATTGAATAAAACTTATTCTATACATTTCAGCAACCAAGATCACATCCAACAAGCAGTACAGTTAGAATCGAACTCTCAAAGACATGGGCTCTTATGGATGAGTCTATAGACATCTCCATCAAGGGTCTGAGGGGAGGACAAAGCATAACTGTGCAAGCATTTCTGAGAGAAAGTGGCAAAACTTACGGATCTTATGGACATTATAAGGCTAATGAGCAAGGTGTTGTGGATGTGTTGACTGCTCCTTCACTTGGTGGGACATACACAGGTACTCTGCTTTTCTTGTTTTTCTTTCTTTGGTGGGAAATTTACAGTTCTACAAATGTAAAGAAAACTCCATGTCTCTTAATCCAGTTGGTTTTGTATTTTCTTTTTCATATCTATTTTACCATAACAGGGTAGGAGCTGACTCTCTGTCAGTGTTGGAGGAGTTATATATGGGTTTTGAGCTGTACGGATGTGTCTTTTTGGCCCAGCTTTGGTGATGCAGCCCTTTTCTGGATCTTCCTTATGTGGGAACTGATCTGGCATCCCCTGAGTTTAAAGCAAAGAGACTGAACATTTTACTTGAGGCTCTAGTGGCTGAGGCTAAACAGCTCTACATGCTGCGGGAGTGCTACAATGTATGATGACCAAGTATATTTAATTTATAGCAATACCGTAACAAAATGAAGGAAGATAGGAAAAGTGTATTTTTATTCTCTACCCACAGGTGTTGACCCAGTTGGTCTCTTCTGGAGCCTTACTACCACACCGGGAGTGAAACCAGGGCGTCTGATCAAGAGCGATGTAATGACACCGTACAATGTTTTTATAGCAGTACAAGATGGCTTCCAGGATTTTAACAGTTTGCCATGGGTTGAAAATCCTCCCAGTTTAGCCTGCACTCTCCTTCAGAGAAGCTACTGTGCCCCTGGAGTCAAACGTATTCCAGTTCAGGAGAATGGCCTCATTGGAATATTGTTTCTTCCTGAAGGTATTCAGACTGGGTGCCAGTTTAGTTGAAGGTCTATTGCTCTTCGCCGATCTACCGTAAGTCCCACCCAATCAACCACGGTCAACAGTTATCTAACGCCTGATTGGCCATGGTAACGATAGTTCTGGGAGCATGTAGAACAAAAGTGGTGGCATTGCACAATTGTGGTATGTGGGTAGGGGGGTCTGATTCAGTTTGTGGTGTCATTTGAATAAAAAGAAATATTCCGGGGGTAAAGTTTATGATTGATAAGTAACAAGTAAATTGCGACAGCAAGGATCCAGACAGACTATTTCAAGATAAACTACTACCCCCTAAACATTTTTTTATATGACTAATAACAATCTACATTACTGAACCTTGTCACATCCCAAGCCTGTATAAATTGGTAGACCTTCAACTAAACCAGTAGTCAGACTGGTCCAGCAGTGGACTGTCAACTAAACCAGTAGTCAGACTGGTCCAGCAGTGGACTGTCAACTAAACCAGTAGTCAGACTGGTCCAGCAGTGGACTGTCAACTAAACCAGTAGTCAGACTGGTCCAGCAGTGGACTGTCAACTAAACCAGTAGTCAGACTGGTCCAGCAGTGGACTGTCAACTAAACCAGTAGTCAGACTGGTCCAGCAGTGGACTGTCAACTAAACCAGTAGTCAGACTGGTCCAGCAGTGGACTGTCAACTAAACCAGTAGTCAGACTGGTCCAGCAGTGGACTGTCAACTAAACCAGTAGTCAGACTGGTCCAGCAGTGGACTGTCAACTAAACCAGTTGTCAGACTGGTCCAGCAGTGGACTGTCAACTAAACAAGCGCCATAAATTGTGTATAGTATAAAGACATGTGAAGATGCCAACACAATTCTTCTATTTAAAGATAAAGAGGGAGATCACACATAACAAACAGATATATTTTTCAGTTCCCAGTTCTCATACTAATTGTTTGGATTCATTTAACGTACATGTGTATTCCTGCACTGTACCTATAGATCTTTAGGGAAAAGTCATACCATCAAATATTTCTGAGGCTTTGCTCAGTTATGATTCTTAAAACTCAGTACAGAAATTTAGGTCCAAATTAACAGGAACAAACCATAAAATCAAGAAAATCATGAAATTTCTCCTGAATTTTGGAATTTGAGGCTTTCAGAAGATCAGGAAAATCTGAAGGAAATTTGTTTTTTAATAGAATCATAGTTCTATAAATCATAGTTCTATTAAGGGAGTGCTTATTTGGGCCACATATGGCCTAAATAAGGTAAGGGGGGGGGGGGGTTTAGCTTATTTAGGCCACAGGTGGCCTAAATAAGGTAAGGGAGGGGGGTTTAGCTTATTTAGGCCACACATGCTCAAACTACCAGGGGACACCCTTTTAAGGCAACTGAGTTCGTTCCACTTTCATAATGGTGCACCTTTCTCATTTAGTACAGTTTTGTCTCAGTGTACAACTTATATATATCATAATGAATATTGTAAGAACAAAGCACGATACGCAAAGTTTTGCTCAATCTCAATGGTTTGAATGAGGGCCAGATTTTTCCTTCATGGAGGGGCAAAATCTAGGCTACCATTTTGGCACACTTTGGTCAAGTAAAAAGGTCAAATCCTCCGAATGGACTTCCGGGTCAAATTTGGGGTATAAAAAGTGTGTACACAACGTGGCTGAGTCAAAGTTACACTATCTTTGCCTGGGTGGCACTCTCTCGTACTGTCTCGTAGTAGTACATCTCTCGTACTGTCTAGTAGTAGTAGCCTACATGTGTAGATGTAGTAGTAGTAGTAGTAGCAAAGATCGAGAAGAATCTTTGGTAGTAGATCTATCTAGTAGGCAGTTTAGTGAACGTGCACGCGGCAGGGCGAATCGGCCTCGATAAGCCCCGTAGACCTTTGTGATCGGCCACGAAGCCTCGTGTTTTGATAGGTCTAAACAACTTAGTGTTAATCGCACTGCCACATCCGACAGGCCTTTATCTTTTTAAAAGGAAAAGAAATGGTCATCAAAATGGTTGAATTTGCGTGAAAATCGATTCGGTAGAACTGTAACTATTAAAATTTGCTTCTGAAAACAAGTTACAAGGCCATTTTTATAACTCGATGAGATAAAAACTACTGGCTGTATTATTCTGTATAAATTATGAAACTTCAGGACGTATTATTATTTTCCAACATCTTTTGCCGCCTTAGCTGTAGAGGTTGAAGTTTTCACAACACTAATAGATCTAGTAATAGGGCTTTCCGTAAAAAATGCATAGATCTACAAAAGCCGAACCACCGAATCGACCGGTCAGCGACCCGGGCACCCCGCTCTCCCCTGCACACTGTGATAACATGTTGCTTCGGTATAATTATTCAACTATTAATATGTGCTGCTATGGCAATTGGGATGTACTGACTGACAAAGCGATTCACAGTTTTGTTTTTATTTTACCATATATTTGACTTTAATAGTGCAGGTGATAGCTAGATCTAGATTCCCTGTCTAGAATCAGTAGTAGCAGACAAATGCTAGAAGCAGCCAGAGAGCCTACAACTGCTAGATCTAGATCTAACTCATTGCTATGCCTTTGGGCTTTGGAATTGAAATAAAACGAATTGCACAGTTCTAGTTAATTTTAGATTCAGCAACTATCTGTATTTCCAGAATTAATAATAACAAATCTCACCATAACAATCACTTTTACTTTTATTAGAATAATTAGATCAACTTTTTTTTCTAAAATCTGTTTTGCGCAAACTTAAGACTTTCTCTACGTGTAGAGCACAGAATTTACATTGTAAGCCTCTGCTCAGTCTTTTATTTTTAAGTATATACTTTTAAATAAAATACGTATAGATATAGATCTATATAATCATTTTATGTTATTTTCTGGATATTGTTAAAAACGGGGTCTACCTAGCAAAATACTAGGTTTTAGGACAGGTGGACCCCGGGGTCACCGTAGTGAAATACATGTAAGTAGATTTATTTAAAGATTAGTAGACCCCGGGGTCACCGTAGTGAAATAAGTAGGTTTAATTTTAAAAGGATTGGTGGACCCCGGAGTCACCATAGCCGTAGAGGAATAAGAAGGTTTAATTAAGAATTGGTGGACCCCCGGGACACCGTGATTAAACCTACTTATTTTACTACGGTGACCGCATGGTCCACCTATTCTAAAACCTAACTAGTATTAAATTTCGTTAGGTAGACCCTGGGGTCCACCTTAAACCTACACCTTCCTATTTCACTACGTTGACTCCTGGGTCCACCAATCCTTAAAATTAAACCAAGATCTACATGTACTTATTTCACTACGTTGACCCCAGGGTCCACCAAACCTTAATTAAACCTAGATCTACTTATAATTTCACTACGTTGACCCAGGGGTCCACCAATCCTTATTAATTTAAACCTAGATCTACTTATAATTTCACTACGTTGACCACGGGCTCCGCCAGTCTTACTATAAAATAAACTGAGATCTACTTATTTCACTATGTTGACCCCGGGGTCCACCGATCCTTAGTCAAACCTAGATCTACTTATTTCACTACGCTGATTCCAGGGTTCACATCCTAAAACAGCATTTTGTTAGGTAGACCCCGCGGTCCACCTATCCTTTTGGGGCTAGATAGACCCCGTGGTCCGCCTATCCACTTCCTTGATAATAACTGAAAAACATGCCAGTTGTCATGAATAGTGAAGAAAAATGTGGAAAAAAAAAGATAACGAGGTAGACGATAATTTGTCAAAAAAATTGCAAGTGCAAGTGAAAATCATAAGATAATTTTGTTATTTTCTGGTCATCTTTTCACGGTTTATAAAATGTTCCAGTGGGCTTACTACTAGATCTATGTCTCTGAAGAACATTTTGCTTGATTTTATTAGCTTTTTTCATGTACTTGAAAGCATAGAATAAAATAGTTTCACACAAATGTATGCACAATACCTTAAAAAAGAAAGATAAGGTCATTGTTGTTGCTGTTTTTTTAACGGAATCCGTTTTACGTTGAAAAAAGCGCTAAAAACAAGTTTAAATTTTTATAAGAATGCCCATAATATTAGGAATCCGAAATTACTACCTTGATCTAGTTTGCTGACTCTTTAATAACCATGAGCTGTTAAGAAAAAAAGAGAATGATATAGGATTTGTCTAAATATGACCATTAGTATTAGCATTAGTAAGATATTGCCCATTTTGTCCAATTATCCTTGCAGGTTTTAATCACCCTGTACTGCACCTCAATAAGCACAAAAAGAATATTTCTGTGACTTTGTATAAAGGTGTTTTGTAGTTGAGTTCTATGTAAAATTCTCAACAAAATAATGTACATTTGGACCGTACAACTGAGATAGACACTCATGCACACAATAACATTCACACATTACACACATACAAACACACTACTACATTTACTCTCTCTCTCTCTAGATCTCTCTCTGTCTCACCACAACCACACACAAAACAAACACATACACACCCACACCCACACACTCACACACACACACACACACACACACACACACACACACACACACACACACACAACTCTTACACTTGGTCCACTTATTTAGAATCATCCTCTATTTTGAAATAATCCCCCGCACTAAATAAAAAGATCAGTAGAATCTCGACCTTCCGAATCCATGGTTAGTTCAAGAAATCTACCATATGATGTGGCCTAAATAAGGTAAGGGAGGGGGGTTTAGCTTATTTGGGCCACAGTGTGGCCTAAATAAGGTAAGGGAGGGGGGTTTAGCTTATTTAGGCCACACTGTGGCCCAAATAAGGTCACCCTTCTATTAATGTTTGAAAACTGCCTTTCTTTGTATAACTCTTCTAGATCTACATCCTCCAACAAAATAATATGTTAAAAGTATTCACTGATAAGGTTTACACTACATGGAGGAGAAGAAACTTTTTCCTTTCACCAACTTTACATTGGTGATGCATTTTACCAGAGTCAATCGTGGATGGTATCAATTCAAATAATCAGAGTATGCTATGTCATGATCCTGTTCACAGTTAAGCAGCGTGATGTAATTGAAAGCTTGTGATCTAGCTTATAAATCTGTTATAAAGACTCATACCATCGGCAAGCTGTCACAATGCCTTATGCCTCAAAGCAAAATTTTTCAAAAGTAAGAACTGTTTCATTCCTTTACCAATTATACCTAATTTTTACATCTTTGTCCTTGCTTTTTCCAACATTTAGAATTTGAATTTTGACAAAATATCTAGCATATGCAATAGATACCACAGATTAAAAAGATACAATAAAAAATGTTTCAAAATTTTTGGCTTAATACATCTGAACAGGCGACCAATGACATGAAGAGCTTCAAATCTGTCTGTCTCTATGGATTCCTTATATATATATATACAAGGGACGATGTCTTACTTTTCAAAGTATAGTTTTTCTCTTCATCTGCTCATCTGTAAAACACAGAATGTCAAGAGGATGCTAGCAGAAAAAAAATTATTTATAAAATTTGCAACAATAATTTATGGAAGGTAATGTTTTATTGGGGGTCATTTTACTTTATTGTCATTACAAATGTGTGCTTGTCAGCTCCAACAGTCCAGCTATATAAAAGCAAATGAGAACATGATATTCTTTAGCTTTTTTTTTATCTTATCTGACTGTAGATTTATGGGTTTGATGGTGTTTTTCTAATGTTTCAAATGATCCTACTCACAACAAAATATGTTTTTAAACAACTGTTTATTTGAATGTTTACAGCAGATGCGTGTGTTGTTTTTCATTAAAACTGTTTAGCACTTTTCCTTTACTTGTCAAAATGTTTACTACCTCGCATGTGAATGCCCATTTTCTTTTCTAGGTGAGGGGCCTTTCCCAGGAATTATAGATGTCTTTGGCCTTTCGGGTGTCATTATTGAGCACAGATCTTCAATGCTTGCTTCCAAAGGCTATGCTTGCTTCGTTTTCGCCTATATCAGATATGAAGACCTGCCCATTACTGAGTCTGACTTGGACTTCGGTTACTTTCTGGTGAGAGATTTTCCTCTTCATAGTGTAATCCTTGATATTTTTGTGTGTGTAATCAAATAATCCACAGCAGTGAAAGATGGAATTTGAATTTCTGTAGTTAACATTTGAATAGTTTGACTACAAAATGCGACAAACACCCGAAATTTAGCCCAAACTAGTAGGCCTACTAGCCGCCGTACTTAGAAACGTGAAGCATATTCCAAAATAATTTTTTTTTTTTTTAAAACAATTTTTCCGCTTTAACTCACTTAATTACTGTCAGGCTCTTTATGGTTCAACCTCTAAAGAATGCCCGGCATTTTGGCACCTATTTAAAAAAATCATTGTGACCTTATTCACCACCCAACAATGACCTTACTATACAGAAAGACAATAAAACATACTGCACAATGCAAAAGAAATTTTTAAGATATCTTGAATGATTGTTTTTTATGATCTTTTTACAAATGTGTCTAAATTATTTTTTTTTTACTTTTTAAAAATAAGTGCTAAGATCAACATCACTAAGTTTGCTATCATTTATCCTTATAGCATTTCACTAAATTGTGAACCCTCTACATAACTTGAATATGCATCAGTGTCATTTTCTTCAACATTAGAAAAGTCTAGATCCGCTCCAGCCCACGTGTGTATCGGTTCAAAAATATTGAAAAGTTTGTTCGCCATCATGCCAAAATGCATTTCAAGAAATTTTTACATTTTAATTCAATTATCAAGGGATGTAACTCAAACAATGCTCAATCAACTCATAAAGGTCAGCAGTTGTATACCCTTTAATTAAGACCGTCCCCGAAAAACAACAGGCAATAGTAGTAGTAGTTTTTTTAAAAATACAAAACCTCAAACCTGAGGGGTTTTGGTAATGGCCTGGGCTCGTACATCAATTTTACCCAAAATTCCTCGGGCCTAGCAGCAAGTGAGTTATAATAAGTGATGCTTTCTATCTTGGGCTTCAGAGGTCCACACCACACACGACACACAGCTCTCACATAGTGGCTGCTTGATTATCTCTTTCCCACGGGTGTTTCTTCAAGTTTAGGCTATTTCTAGCCTAATTTTGTCACCGATTTTCTCATGGTTTATGCTGATTATGAAAATGCTGTTATTATTTGTCTCTGGCCTATAATTTTGTTTAAAAGTTGAAATTAAATTTTTAAATCTCTTGGAAAAATATCGACAAAATATCTGGTCCACCAAATATGAGCCCCATGACCAAATGGCTGGTGTTGGGCACATGAGGATTCACAGTATTACGTGAAAGGTCTGAGGCGGTATGAGGACTGACGAGTATAGAGTTTTTTAAAAATTGCAAGTACATAATATAGCCTAATTTCTGATCCGTCAGAAATTTTCTATTTGAATAAAATTTCCATAAAGTTCAGCTGGAGCTGTACATGTAATTGGTTGCTACTCATTTTTCTCTTGGCATGGCAATCACGCGTGACAGATCTTGGTGAGTCAAGACTGACCGCAACTGGTTTCTAGTCTCTTCCAATAGTAAAGATGGCAATCAGTGCTTCCCGTTATACTGCCAACCCTGCTGTATCGCCAACTTCGTGCTCGTACCAAGGTAGACGGTATAACAAAGTTTGACTGTATATTTATCAACCTGTCTGTCTTTCTATTTATGTAGGCCCACCTATATATCTTTTTCTGACTGACTGTTTGAATTTTTTATTCTTTTCTCTGTTTACCTTTTTCGTAAATAGGCCTATTTATAATTGTTCATGTAGTTTTTCATTTAAATTAATATAATATATATATATATATATTTCGTGTGACTGGCTGATTTACTTGCAGAAAGCCTTTGACTGGCTGGCATCACATCCAAATGTGGACTCCAGTAACATCGGTGGGGTGTCAAACTGTGCAGGGGGAGGCTACTCTCTCTTCATAGCAGAGAGAAGACCAAAAGTGGGTAACTGAACTTTAAAACCAGTACAAAATATAGATTGTAATGTTTGCTAATACTGTCTTCCTCCTTAAATAAAATCAATCTTGCTAAGCCAGAGACCCTTCTGGTGTAGAATTTTTCATGTTGAATTTTGCAGTAAGATGGGACCTGAATAGTATAGTACTCCAGGGGCTTCTTGTCTAACAGTAAGGGTCTGGATTTACAATTGCGTTGTTGTGTTCTGAGTAAAGTCACCGTAGCATATTCTCCTGTCCAGTTGATCTAGATGAAAATCAAACAGCAGTATATCGGAATAATAATGGTAAGCACTTATCAAATTACAGTACTTGGTTCATTTGTTTTTACGATTGGTATATATATGTTATATATATTATGGCTATGACGGTAAGCACAGATTATTTTATATATAGGCCTATATATATATATATATATATATATATATATATATATATATATATAGAGAGAGAGAGAGAGAGAGAGAGAGAGAGAGAGGATTTAAAGTTACAGCTAAATTGTTTTGTTCTAGTCATTAATGCCCCAGAAAGCTTATACAGCGTTTTTTAAAGAGCAGCTTTTAAACTTCTCTTACATGCATCAAATCTGTACGTCATCGTTTAAGCCGACTTGTACCAGCTACTGTAATGTATCTTCACTTCTTCCCTGCTGATCTCTGGCTATCCCTCGCTGCATATTCACCAACGAACACAAAATGTACCGAAGCAAGGAGTGGCATTCTAGTTTTTTTTAACTCAGTGTAGAAAAACCATAGACATGTTGTATGGAAGAAATACTTTAAGACATGGGAAATACTTAAATGACCTCATGTTCTTGCAACTCTATATTTTTATTTCAGCCATTTTCATTTTAGTGCTTCGCACATGTTTTTTATCTATCCAATACAGCTGAAGTGTTTAGTGTGCGTCAATGGCAGCATTAGTCCAGTTGGAGCAGAGCACACAGTGGAAGGGAAAGTTGTGAAACCTGCTGGCTTCCGGATGGAGAGGGCAGTTCCTGTAAATGGAAACATGTTTTCCTTCAGGGAGATGTATCATCCCTCTGATGAAATGCTTGTGCCTCAGGTAGTCTTTGTATCTTCATTACATCAGCGTCCCTTCTTATAATGGTTTCTTTACAGTAATGATCCTGTATGTTCCTACAGATGCTCCTGTTTATGCAGTAGTTGTAGTAGTAATAGTGATTGTATTTGTTAAACACTCCTTTCGACACTGTAAGGTTTTTTTAAGAGGCAGGACTTCCAAATGTAACATCCATCTCAGATAAAAACTAAGCCAAGTGGATGTAGAGCCTTAAAAGCTCTTCGGACAATCCAAGCTTAAATCATTCTATCTGGGATTCGAACCTGAGCCATCCACAGTACACTACAACATAATATTTATTGAGCAAACAGCGTGCCCCAGGTACCCGTATATCTAAAGTGTGAAAATGTGAGATGGTGTAAGTTTAACGCACCCGTCAACATTATTAGATTATTTTTAAGACACAGGACCTCCAAGTTTAAAGTCCAGCTCCAAAAGGACCCAGCCAAGAGGAAATTTGTGCAAAGTGCCTTTCCAAGGGTCGCAATGTCAGACCCAGCTGAGGCTTGAACCCATCTAAAGTGTAAGATGTCACACAATAAGAAGTATGCAAAGCAAACTACAATCAGAGATTTTGATCTAAAAGATATTCACTAATCAACTTCTTTTTATGAAGCCTCAACATGTTTATACTGGAAAAATAGATATCACCTGGTTTCTGAATTCAGTTGCAATATAATTTTATAGCTATCCAGTCCTGTCTTAGTTTCTATCCAAGGAAACAATATTTTTGCTTGCATGAAAAAGCCTGTAGACACTGTTATAGTCATGAAAGGAATTAAGTATTTTTGAATGGATGTAAAGAAAAAAGCAGTAACGAGGATCAGTTTTTTGTCTTCTTGTCAGCTGATTTAGGCAAAAAATCTTTCCTCAGAGGAACTGGAAGGGAATATAAGTAGTAAATGGTTTAATCTTTAGAAATAAATCTTTGTTTTTCAAATGTATTAGAAGGATGACAAATTCTATGTGTTCTTTAGGGCACAGATAACTCAAACACACTGGGGGTTGACAAATGTGTTAGACACATCTATAATAAGGATAACTTATGTAATGAAAAATTTAAAGAGTTATAAGTCGGGGAATGGCAAATTGTATGAGCAATCAGAGATTTGGAGTTTTCCTTGTTCTTGGTGACTCTAAAGTTACATCCATTGAAATTTATTGAGAGCTTTCCATTAAAGAAGAATTTAATATATAAGAAACGTAAACGTTCCATCAGTTATGATCAAATAACAATAAATTACTTTGAAATAGAAAGTCAAAGCAAAATCTTGTTCCTGGTGGTTAAGGTGAGAAAAACTATTTTTCGAGACTGAAATTCTGCCCTTATGCAAATGTTGTGATATCGAATGAAAAAACTGTTCATAGAAACTGGCCAATATTGAAGAGAAGGTTGTTGGGGTTTGGCCAGAATTGAAGATTAATTGTTGAAGATTGGCCAATTTTGAAGAGACAGTTTTTCGGGATTAATCAGTTTTCAAGAGATAGTTGATAGACAAATACCAATAATACTGATGAATAAAAAAAATAATTTATAGTTCATGACTACTCTGATTTTTTTTTTACGTTTAATGGCATTTCCTCCTTCCAGTTCTGGCAACATGGTGCTAAATTCATCTTTGTGCAAGGAGAAGATGATCAATGTGTGAACCCAGCAGCCGTGGGGCATATGAGATCCCTGGTCCCTGAAGAATATCGCAGAGACAACATGGAGATTGTCTATTATCCCGGCGCTGGCCATATCATAGAACCACCACATGCACCTCTTTGTAGAGCCAACTTTAACAAAGTGCTTAGTGAGTATGATAGCTACTGTGTTTTCTGTTGCATTTTATTACTTGTCCCTCATTTTTAGTGAAGGCAGAACAGGTTAGTTTTAGGCAAAGTTGATACAGTTGACCAAAGCCTTCAGTATTGAATTCTTCATGCCCAGTGAAAACAAAAAAACAATGTGATTATGATTAATGTTGACATATGACTTCCTGACTGTAAAAGAATAACAGATTTTATTGAATACGTTTATAAGGGAACAACTGCAAAAGTTGTCTATGATAAACCTTCATGTTTGTTACAAAGATCATTCGTTTTTTCTCAGTTTGGTGTTTATTTTATGCAAAGAGGATAAATAAGACAAAGATTTATAGGGGAGTTTTTAATGCTGAAAAATTGGATCTCAGAATTGGCTGCATACACTAGGAGTTAATTCATGCACCATTTTTGTGTTTTAGGAATGTATCTGCTGTGGGGAGGCCAGCCCAAACCACATGCAGACGCCCAAGTCGATGTCTGGAAAAGAACTTTGGATTTTCTCAACAAAAATCTCAGGCAGAATGTTGCCTCAACTGCAGCCAGGCCAGAACTCTAACATAAATTGTATATGTGTGTCTACTTTTTTGTACGTCTCTGCTTTTTACCACAGTCTTTGAGGGTAAAGTCTAGCACAGGGTATTTTATTTTTATTTGGTCAGTATAGATTAATTGTTTTTTCTTGTAATTTCTTTACTGATTCATTCCTACATTTATTCAGAGCATAACTGTTCTATGCTTGCATTTTTATACCGAAAAAAGTGTTGAAAGATGTTTTTTGTTTGTGGTCAGTTTGTCCTTGTTCCTGTGCAAGAGTTTTTATTTTATAGACCGACAGTACAATTTTTGCCATATTTTATGTGCATATATAAGTTTGTTGATTTCTGTAATAGATTTACTATGTGATTGAAATACTAGTGGGCACCCAACACTGAATTTTCATATATGGATTCAAAGTGAATGATTAATCTATATATCAAAAGAACTTTTCATTCTGAACAATTTGGTGCCAAATTATCTGCAATAGGACAATATATATATGGGGAAACTGAATGTTTAAAATGTAATATATTAGTGCAGAGCATGCAATATAAAGAAACACAAATGTAGAGACAGCTCACACTGTAACAAAATTTGCTGCACCCACCAAACTTCCTTAGTCTAGAGTCATTGGTGCCTTTAGTTATAATGTCAGTTTTTTAAACAGACGTGTAATGATTCATAATAAACAAAATAAGGTTTTAAAAATGGTCGAAAAGTCTATTTCACACTTTTGCTAAGGGGAGGCAAAGCGACAAAATTTCACTAACTTGAAGATGTCACACAAATTGATCTATGATTGATAGATACACAGAGTGAATACCTCAAATTAGAGAGAAAGAACAACTCTTTAGCATGCAGTTAAATTTTAAATACAGTCGAACCTGTGTAAGACGGAATCGCAAGGGAGCGGGAAAAAAATTCTGTCTTAGACAGGGGAATGTAGGGGGGATTTTGGAGTTTGGGGGGGGGGAGGGGGGTTCAAAGGCCCAGCCGGTGGGATCAAGGATCGCTTGCCCGATCGGCAAGCAGTAGTCAAAACTTCACACCTCTCAGCTGCTATCCTGTCTGATAATGACATGCATCAGTCTTACGTATCCAATTACCACCTGTGTTTGCCTTTCATAGGACCACTGTTTGACCTATCAAAAACAGAAACGTTGGAACATCTCCTTTGCTTCCCCCCTTAGTCCCACCATCCAATGCCTCCCCTCACTGCCATCGTTGTAACAACGATTCGAGGAACTCTTTTCTCAGCTGGCCATATGATCAGGGCGGCAGGCATTGGTCAATCTAATTTCACACCTCTGGCTTCTGGCTACCCAGGAAAGTTTCCGTAGTGGCTCGCTACTCGAGCACTCTCACAGGCAGTCGTGAGATTTCACACCCACACTGCACTGACCATCTGCATCACTCAGGGCTCATATGATGGGGTAATTTCTACCCCTAAATTGCACGCCCACTCTCCTTCCTCGCCCAGCAGCATGGCCATGGCGTTACGTTTAGAGCCGGCGAAACCGAACTTGCGAGTTTTGTTTCAAATCAGGGCTGAGCGGGCAAAGCATTTTCCGTCTTAGACAGGTGAAACCCTCGGAAGGGGCGGATTTTTCTTTCAGTTTCCACGTTGGACAGATTTCCGTTTTGTACTGGTAATGAAAGAGTAATATATCAAGGGGGGAGCGGGTAGATTCCGTTAAGACAGGTTTCCGTTTTACACAGGTTTCCGTTAAGGCACGTTCCACTGTAGTCATAATAAACATCAATGTAAGCACTTCATCAGTCTTCAAAATGCCCATTAATTTATGTAAAAATGGACAAAAATGACATTTTAATTGACGCAAAAGGTATTGATGTGCAACATTATATAGAGCAAATATTTTTTTTTTACATAAAATTAAAAAGAACAGAGCAAACATTAATGTGCTTTCTGTATTATTATTGTTTCCATATCTCCCATCTGCGCAGATTTTCCAAATATGTTTTTCATTCGCCTTCTATTTTTCCAATGAGAGGAAGATATTCAATGCCTTTATGTTGAGTCACCCTTGACAAGGTCCAAAATAATGCTCTCCGTTTCGTACACGTCAGCATGAGGTACACACCTACTGCCACATGTGAAATCCTTTCAAATGCTGAACCCCTGGGAATCCGCAGAGATAAAGCAGTTTTGGAGCTACATGAAAGAACTAAAAGAATGTGCCCTAACCACCCAAACTGGAAATTAATTGAAACATGGAAACCAAAGAAATGCGAATTCAGCAAAAATCATTCATGCTTCACTTCATAGAACTAATGGAGAATTACCATCTACCACAAAACAGAAAAGAAACCAAAAGAGTCAACCAAAACATCCCTCTCCACTTTTCTATCATTACAAGATCTCTCAGAGACAATAGCACAAAATCTTCAGACCCGGTGACGCTGATGTTTGATTCACATCAAACAATCGACAGCTATTCAGGTGACTGGATACATGTCTATACAGACGGCTCAGCATTCAAAGGCACAGCCAAAGCCAGATATGGAATACTAATAAAGTATGCAGATGGAAGTTCCAATGAGATCTCTGCATCCTGTGAAGAGAAATGCAGCAACTATGATGCAGAAATGATGGCAATTGAAACAGCACTGTACAATCTCCGCACAGTTTTTGACACTCATCCTGAAAAAGCAGAGTATTGTGATTTTCACGGACTCACTATCAGTCTTGCAAGTGACAGAAAATGACCATCATCTAAACCAAGATTTGACTCATATACTGTTTGCCTCCCATCATTTGATAACATTCTGTGGCATCAATCTGGTGATGCAGCGGGTCCCTGGACACTCAAACATACCTGGAAATAACAGAGCAGACACACTCGCCAAACGGGGATCTAGACAGGAGCAACCCAACATGTGTGCTTCATACAACACTGCAATACAAATCTTTAAAAGCAACAAAAAACAAGATTGGGTGAACAGATGGGCCTCGGGAAAGACAAGCAGAGCAGTTTTCAAACATATGACTACAACAAAACGTAATGACAATATCAACCACCTACAGAGAAAGAAACAGACCTCGATCTTCTACCTACGAACAGAACATATACAGCTCAACTTCCACTTGAACAGAATAAATCCAGAACTTCCCCAAATGTGTCCCTTGTGTGACTATACATAATATAAAACTGTGGATCATCACCTGTTCCACTGCACAGCCCTAAATGACATCAGAGCTTCCCTTCTCCCTTGGAGACCTAATATTGACTACACACTCTATGGAACATTATAGCAACTGCAGCAAACCTGCACTTATCACTTCATGGCATTGGACAGAAGGGTGATAGCCCTGCTGTTGCTGGATCGATAACAATAATAACAACCACATGTCGGGTTAAGTATCCTAGAAAGTGCTTTTGTCACTTCCTAATTGTTTTTGTTAATGAGTGGCCCACATGGGCTTCTTTCAGGACTTCAAAATACCTATACAAAATATTTTATGTAGATGAATTGTGCACTAGCATGATGCTCGCCTGGCAGTTCTTGTTTCACTTTGACTTGGTCAGTGAAAGAAGTGCCAAGTGTCGTCACATTAATTAATGCAAAATTACCCTGATACTGTTTATGAAATATTCTTATAGACAGATAGATGGAAATTTTTTGCCATATATTTTTAACTCAAATATTTTTAATAAATTCCTTTTTTTTTAAACTTTCTAAATTTTAATTTTGATTTTTTTTGCACTTTAAGTTAAAATTGGTGCATGAAATTTATAATGAAAGAAACATATATTCATGCACTTTTAGAGAGACTCGATTTAATTAATATCAATGAGATATAAAAGGTTTGCTGATGTTTTGAAATCTATGAGTTTTGGAGGTTCCCAGATTTGGCATTAGCAAGACTCTAAAAAGACAATTCAATATCCAGCTTTGACCCCTGTAATTAAAACTTATGTTTTATTTGCTCGCTTTTTCAATGTGCTAAATTAAAAATCGTCGACAGCTTTACGTAAAGATATTATATTAGTTTATTGTACTGAATATGAGGCTTTATAATTGACATTTTCACTTCTACCAATGTCTAGTTTTTTTATGTCACATGAGGTGATAAATTTAAGTTTTAAACCTCCAAACCTAAGAGGGGGTGCTCTCGTGGCCTAGAGGTTAAGGTGTTGGCCTCTCATTCAAAGGTTCCGGGCTCAAATCCGGGTAGTGACCGGAAAAAAATTTTTCTCTAAATGTGTCTCTTTTCACCTCCTTTCCTGCTCTCTAGCAATGTTCTGTCGTCTGCTTTCGTCTCCCTTTTCTTCCCCCACTCCCTCATCTCCTTTGCCCCCCTCCTCTGGGCTCCTGATTCTTTCTACAGCCTTTCTACTGCTACTTCTTGGCTTCTTCTTACTGCTGTCTTTCAGCCTCACCCCTGGTCTTCTGGTAGGAAAGATCTACACCTAGCCTTCTCGGACAAGGGCGAAAAATCTCGGAAGGCCCGTGTGCAAGTTGTGCACCTTAAAGATCCCTTGGTGGTCTAAAATCGATAAGAGTAGGCTTCGTCCGCCACCCGGGCAAAATTCAAAATTTCCTACCAACTGAAAAAAGTTAAATGTGTCCCGCGCACTCATATGACCTTATGCAGTTGCGAGCGTCGTAAAACACTTACAAAAACAAACAAACCCAAGAGGGGCTTTTTTTTCTTAAAATCATGCTTAAGACTGAAGCAGGCATTTTAAGTGCTGTCTGTCTACCCACTCATTTGTGTGCTGTAAACCGTTTACAGTGTACAAGTGTTTACTAACTGTTTAGAAGTGTTTAGTGAGGTTTTTATGTGAGTCTGAGAATGTCAAGGTATTGGTGCTCTCAATCAAAACATATACATTTATTACCTATTTCTATTATATTATTCTACCTGTCCATGTTTATTTATGTGTGACCTTCAGCATTCTGGAGATCCAAACATGTACATGGAATTAAAAGTAATATATGCATTTGTTTTTATTGGTGCAGTCTACAGCATAGAATGTATTGAAATAAGGTTGGAACTCACATGTTACAAAATTATCATATATTCTATCTCTTTAGTCGGCGTAATATAATATAACTGAGCCGGTGGTGGAAAAAAGATAGAATCAATATTTGATATATATAGTTAAGAATAATTTACCTTATTTTGTGTACAAGAGAATGGGATATGTCATCAACTAGTAAGTGTTTTTTCCTTTTTTTTTCAACCTGCCTGATATTATACGATTTGGTGCAAAATGTTGAGTTTACATATATATATATATATATATATATATATATATATATATATATATATATATATATATATATATATATATATATATATATGCGTGTGAAATTGAGTCTGTTTTTAAAAGTTTGATTAATTTTTTTTTAATCAGAATATTTATTATGACGTACTGCTAATGCTGATTGTGTTAATAATATACATGTGTACCTTTCGCTGTGGGCTGAATACAGGAGTACACTTTTAATATTCCAGACCTTCTTGCCAAAGCTGCTGCTTTTATGTTGGCTCAGTTTATAGCAGTAATTGTTTAACATGCTTTAACTGCAATTTTCACTCTTTCAGGTACTTTGCTGTGGGTTTGACTTGTGTCAAGCTTAGTCATTATGTACCAAAGGTCAGTCATTAATCCTTAGTTTTGCTTAGCTGGCGAAGTACAGTATAACATGGATAGGTTGAACACAGAAGACT